AGGTAGATCCGACCAGAAGAGCGTAGGGCCCTCGTGGTGCTTCAACAGAGGAAGCAGACGCTTCTGTAGACACTCCTTGTGGTAGATCTCTCCGTTTACAGTCTCGGTAGTCACGAACGGCGCACTGCGTTTGCCACATGAGCAGATCGCTTGCCAAATCATCTATTTCTTGGCAAACTTTGAAAGTTTCTGCTTTCTTACTTCCTCCGGAACATCAAGCTTGTGCTGGGTGGTGAAGATTAGTAGACCCGGAAGCTTCGAGGCTTCGTCAGCATCTGAGTGTACAGTTTTCGGGCCCGTGACTTTCCCACCGTATTTTGCCGTTCGTCACGATTTGGAGCCTTCTGCCTTTTGTACGTATGCAGTACCTCCCGGTCCTTGGCTCTCTGAACGAAAGACTTGGACAGACTCAACTTTTTGGCCACATCCCTGACCGAAGCATTGGGATTCCGCTTGAACGCTTTCACGACACGGTTGTGATCCTGATCAATAATAGAACATCCATTCTGACCGCATTTCTCCTTCCGTTTGATGCTAAGAGTTTCGTAGTAACGTTTAATCACACGACTCACCGTTGACTGCACGATTCCGAGCTGTTTTCCGATGTCCCGATGAGAGAGTTGAGAATGTTGCAGGTGCTTGCGCAAAATCAATTCGCGACGTTGCTTTTCGGGTGACGCAATTTTTTCCAACTTTCGAAAAACTGACAGCGATAAAAATACAGTGTAAACAATGCACTATAAACTACTTCTATCCAAATTTTCAAGAGAAAATACCCAATCGGTAATTTTCTACAGCGTTTTTTCCGTGATGCAATTTGATGTGGGACACCCTTTAAGTCTGCCGAAGACAGTAACTTTCTAGCTGGTCAAGATGTCGAGCTATTGTATATGCTAGAATTGCACGTGTATGCTAGCACCGTGTAGTGAGAAAAATCTGAACTACTATTACGTGGTTTCCATTTTCGTTTGCTCTATTTTCCACATTTTTTGCAAGTTTTTTGAGGAATACCCGTTGGTTTTAGATCGATTGGCAGCTCGGCAGCAAAATGGCAATGGAAAATTCACACTGTTGTACAAAGTACAACGCGCGAGTACTCGAAAGGTGGAGTAGTTTCTAGTATTATATCTATGGAAGTCACTTCCTCTTTCAATTCGTTCTCAAAAATATCGAGGCAGCAAACCGTTAACTACTTTAAAAATGAACACCATTGTCAAATATACAATTCTTTGCTTCACCGACAACCATTGTAAGGCGTCTAGCATCAAAGTTGAGGAAGTGAATCCATTACATCTCAAAATCAAACGCATTATTTTATTCTGCAAGCGCGATTATCTGGATATTTGTGTTGCATTGGTCAAAAACTAAAATAGAAGGGCAAACGTCTAGATGAGGAGAGATGATGGATTTGTCTAGCTTTATTTTACTAGCAATAGTTAAATCGTTTTTCAATCGACATAGAATTCCACACTTCTTGGATATTTTCTGTATGACATTGTCAATGTGAAAGTTGACCTTAAGTTTATCATCAATAATCACGCCAAGATATTTATTCTCCCGAACGCGATCAATAATTTCATCATCAATTACAACAGAGACGTTATCATTTACTCGGTTCGGCTAAATTACCATAAATTTAGTTTTACTTGCATTCAACTGCTTACACTTCAACCATCTACTTAGAGATCGCAAATCTACATTCAAGTGTGAGACGGCAACTTCTAAATCCTTAGCTGCAATGAATAACACAGTAACATCTGCAAAAAGATTAATGCCGCAAAATCGTAAAACACGTCGCATCTCGTTTATATACATAATAAATAAAAGAGGCTCTAATACACTTCCCTGGGGCACTCCAAGGTTATTCCCCACGGGACTGGAAACAGAATCATTAAAAACAGTCCGTTGAGTCTTGTCACACAAATAGCTTTCAAACCATTTATAAGCAGTACTCAAAATTCCAAAGCGCTAGATTGTACTTCACAATAAGGGCATAGACATTGTTTCAAAAGTGTGTTTCAGATCCAAACAATAGCAACAGTCGTATCTTTACGCTCCAAGCTGTCTTTCCACTTCGCTAACACCAAATTCAACGCAGTTTCACAAGAATGACCTTTTCGATATCCTGATTGTTGTGGTATCAACAAAAAAAAAGTTATTCAAATACTTCAACAGCTTAACAACAAGTTCTAAAATTTTCTTAAATGTGCGCAACATGTTGATGGGACGAAACTCTTCGGCTTTAATCGTTCCAGCAATTTTTTGAATAGGAACCACTTAGATTTCCTTGAAGATGTGGCCAATGACATGAAAGCAATATTGAATAACTCTAGCGATTTTCCTAATGAAAAGCAAATAACTCTAAGTTCATTTAATGTAATTGGGTGAAAAGCTTCAAATCTTTAACTACTATCAATTGGCTGCTTTATTTCGTAGGGTTTATCAATAGATTGAATAATCAGTGAAACACTGTTGACAAATTAATCATTACATTTAGATGCAATTAAATGTTCTGACTGTTCTAATGTGCCATTAAAAGTTATGGACCACGGTTTGCAATTACTAGGTTTTAATGAAGATTTCAAAATTTTCCACAACTCTTTGCTATTGTTTTGATGCTGATCAATCTTCCTCTGGAAATATTCAAAACGAGTTTTTTTTATCGACTGCGAATATTTATTACGCGCGAATGTGTACCTATTCCAATGATTATCACTATTTGACGTACAACACTTTTTGTACCATTTATCCCACTTACATTGAAGACGCAAAAGATCCAAATTGTACCAGCTGTTCGAGTTTTTCAAAGAAACAAACTTTTGCCCAACTAGGTGATTGGTACACGTTTTCAAAGCGTTAGTTAGAACAGCTGTAGATTCATCTAAATTACCAGCCGGGAATGGAAAATCCTACAATATTTTCTACAGCACTTCAATTTCACTAAGTCGTCGTTATTATTAATATTATCTAATGCATTAATCACTAAGGTCTCATGATTGGTTATTTTCAAATCAGTATCCGTTACTGAACAAATAAAATCAAAATTGGAATAAACGTGGTTATTTAATGTTTTACTGTGCCTGCAAATCCGCGCATATTCATCAACCATTTGTTTTAAAATTTAAAGCGAAAAAATCAACTAAACTCTTCACATGATTCGAATTATAGTTGTCACTCTTTAAATTTGTTAAACAACCTCTCAACGGAATCCCTTTATGAAGAGCTTTGAGTGTGTTGGTTTATTTCCTTTTAATTGTCACGCCAATTAATATTAAAATCACCAGCTAATAGGTATATTTAATTTACTAGAATCAAGGAATGTCTTGAGACAGTTCTCTAAAACTTCAACAAAACGCAGCTCACTAGAACTGGGAGAATGATACAAAATACCATAATTGCCCATCTTCATGCCACGCACAACTGAATTGCCCAAGAACCAGTTACCATCGATAACTTCGTTGATACGAAGGTCGAATTGAATTGATTCTTCTTCTGGAGTCCCCAGACTTTTTTAAAAGAGACGAACCAGCCTCAGGCTGAACGTCTCTCAAATAAAATAAAAATCTTGAAATATTGCACCATGTTCAAATATTTGGTAAGATTCATAAAAGCCTAATTTAGAGAGGTTCCGAAACACGTTCACAATAATGTATTTGAGATTTAAGAATAATCTACACTGGAGTCGCTTTTTACGCGGGTGATATGTCCCGCGTAAAAAAAAACCGCGTAAAAAAAAACCGCGTAAAAAAAAACCGCGTAAATTCCGAAATCCGCGTAAAAAAAACCGAGTAAAAAAAGACCGTGTAAGAAAAAAACGCGTAAAACGCGATATACCGCGTAAATTCTGAAATCCGCGTAAAAAAAAACCAAAATCCGCGTAAAAAAAAACCGCGTAAATTCTGGAATCCGCGTAAAAAAAAACCGCGTAAATTCCGAAATCCGCGTAAAAAAAAACCGCGTAAAAAAAACCGTGTAAAAAAAAACCGCGTAAAAAGCGACTCCAGTGTATTTGAGATTTCAGATTTTAAGATAAGTGCTTTGATGCTGAAATTTTCTTTAAATATTGTTTTAAAGAAATTTACATTGTTGTAAATTGTACTAGTTTTTTGGTGACATACTTCTCTCAAACTGTTTGATTTCGCTGGTGGCTCAACCAGATTCTAGTATATGATATGACTGACCATTTCAAAACTTAGGATGTTACAAATTCTACCATATCTGAGCTGTTCAACAAGTCGATAGTGTGCAGTGCAATTGGGTAGTTTTATATTCCTAAAGAGTCATTAGTGATTATCATTTGAGTACAAATTAATTAACAAATGAAGTAACTCTTCTTCGTGACTATTTCGTTTAAACTGCAACTTTGCTCCTGCCTTCAACTACTTATCCTGTACCATTGATTCGTATGTTGTGCGGCAAGCACAAAGAGGCTCAATGCTCAGGAAAGTCGGAAAAATGCCCCCGACAGGATCGGGAATCGAACCCACCCGGCTTTATTACGGTTATGATTTATACCTTCGTCGTCTTAAATGACTGAGCCAAGGTAGGTCCCAAAATGAAAACAATTCAATTAAATACATAAATCGATTCTTTCTGCAACAGGTCCCTGAGAAGATCGAAAGGCTCGCCCATAGACGATCCCAGAGCCAACAAAAAAATCCATCTTCTTACCCCTGCTCCTACCGGCCATCGAATGATGACCACCGAAAGAGGAAACACAAAGAAGGAACCAACGACGCAACAACCGCAGAGCATCATCAGTTTGAAACGAATGTAGAAAGAAGCCTAAAAGGAGGAGCAGGAGAAAAAGAGGCAAATAATTCCAAAAATTGGGGCCCTCTGGTTTTCACCGAAGCAGGTGTTGTTTAAAACCTGCGACGGCTGCTTCCAGTTCCAGCAGCGCAGCTTTTGTTCTCTGCCTGAGGAGCCTTCGTGCGGGAAGGTTTTTGAGCATTTAACCAGAAAAAAATGCATATAATGGAAAATTAGCATGGTCCTACCTGTGTGCGTCCGGAGATGAGCCTGGAGGGATTTTTCCCTCGGGAAAACGCGATTACAGTAGCGGCACTTAATGGCCGATGGAGATATCGAGCCCTCCACCATCAGAATGGTAAGGGCTTCCGATCTCGGCCGGCCCCGTTTGTTCTCGGACTTCTCCGCCGAGCTGCCACCACTGGAATGATGTTTCCAACTGTTACCATGGGTGGTAGGTGTTCCCGTTAGGGTTTTCGCCATGATTACATCCGGCGAGCTGCAGGTCGATGCCGGACTGGTTAGTGATTCGTGTGATGACGGTGGCCAACCGGAGTTCCACTGGTGATAAAGATGTTTACTATCACCGGGTGTTACGGTTGCCGCTGCCGTAAGCGAACCGAACATCGCTTGATTACTGGCTGACGGAGGACTGCCGATGTACGGTGAGGAAATGGTTTTAATTCGCTTCGGCGTATCCATTTTTCTACACTGGGTTATTTACTTTTTCGCGTTCAACGTAAACTACTTCCCTCAATATGAAGGACTGGGAAACAAAATTCCACTACACAAAAGAAAATCAATTTCCAATCGATTGAAAATCTCTTCACACCCGCAACGATAATTATTTCTCACTGAGCACAATTTCCGAGGGACTGCACAAAGCGCGACGACGGCGACACAAATTCGAACAAAAAGACGCTCTTGCTGCTGGCATCCATTTAATTTTTTTTAAACCACACACAACATTCGACTGAAGTTTTCGCTTCTTGGCTTCTTCGTCCGTCCGACCGCACACAACTGAACGCGCGTGATCGGCTTGCTTTCGGTGGAACAACACTCTGCTGCGCTGCGCAACACATTCAACAAAAACACACGTCCAAACTTGCGCAGATTCTCTTCTCGACTGTTGTGCAGAGATGCCAGAATTATTTCTATGCAATTCCGTAGACTTGTTCAAATCTACGGATTTCTACGGATTTTTTTAGTCGGAGGTGATATTTTTTTTAGTTTACGTTCAATGATAAATCGATGAAATAACTTTTGAAAAACTAAGGACAGCCCTTTGGGTTGTACGCAATGGTGACGTAGGACTACGTGGTCTTATATAATAAATGTTATTTGCAGGAATTTGTGTTTTGTGTTGGAATAGGAATTTGAGCGGGGTTCTCTCTGTTTATACTATAGTATGACTATGATTGCCCTGAAAAGAAGCCTTTGATATGAATTTTAGTTGGGACATGTTCAGAAACTTAACTCTTTTGGAAAATCTTGGTGGCCCTGAAAAGGGCCGATGGTAGTACAGGCATGAATACCATGATACTGTTGCACCTGTAGTTTTTGGCATACTTTCACTGATTGCTTCCCGGGGATCCTTGGTCAGCCATAGCAAGATGTGCGCGTGAGGACTTCCACGGTGCTGAAATTCAATCGTGTCAACCAGCATACTGGATCATCATTGACCAGGGTTGCTCTTTGTAGTGCAGTCAATTCCTGGATAGGATCTGTTAAGTCATTGCCATTGTGTCCTTCTGACAATCGATGTAGGAGATTCAAAAAATGGGGCCACTTTATCTCATTTGCGCTGAGTGTGAGGAACATCGTAGGCTTTCCCAATTGTCGCATCATGGTGAACAAATTTCTCTTCCTTTGTTGCCAATTCTGTACTGAAATCGGTATTGATGTGAGGAAGGATAGATTTCGCTCAATGCACTGCTCGATGAATAAGGCGGTCCTTAAGGTTGACACGTGTAAAGTTTGCGATCCCCGTGCACTTAAAAGTGAATTGCAAGCCTTCGGAAACTCTAAGGCGATGAACTTTCATTGTCATATACAACAAATGTTGTGGTTTGACCACACGCCTTTCACTGGATGTCATCATGAAATATGTCACCCGAACCCCTGACTTGAATTTCCGTACATGGCCGAGACATATGGCAGGCAAAGCTATCTCTTCACCGTGCTCGTCATAAATTAATGACAGAGGAACCTTGTTTTGCGCGGGAGCGATCTCCAGGCATTTGTCCTCATTCCAAAGGAGCGTTTCCTCGGTGCTCAAGCACCAATTCTGTCTCATTATCCACGGCAATGGTTTCCAGGTCAATTTGAGGATCCACTGCAGGGGTTTCAAGACCATCTATGGCAATCTGATCAATTGTGATCCTGTAGCGGTGGTACAGTGAGGTGCCATTTGATGAACACGTTGATGGCCTGATCATCATCGAGCTGACGGGGCGTCTCTCTTACACTACGCAAACGGTAGAACAACATTCGAGCAAATAGAAGATTATCAAAAAACTATCATATGACATATGATAGTCCTTTGATGAAATACTATCAAGATTTCTCTTGATATCTTTTGTCGAAAATTTCCTACAGGACAAATGAAGAGTAATTATGAGTTGTAATTCCTCAATTTGGTGTAAATTAAACCATTTCTGATCAAAATTTTTTATTACTATGACATCGTTGCTTGTTATTTTCAGAATTCACACAAGCACACCATCAGCAGCTCTTATTATGAGAAAAATTAAAATACATACATTCGTGATGCCCTTGGGCGACAGTGTCGTATGACAGATAATTGAGCAAGAAAACGGTTGACAAGTTGCAGAGGCGTATTCTACTTTATGCTTCTTTCCCTTCAGAATCAGATTATGCTCTAGATTGTAAAATTCGATACTGAAGGGAGACGTACACTGAAGAGAAAAATCCATAGAAACTGTACCGAATTCCGTAGATGTTGCCTACGGATCCGTATTTCCGCAAAAATTTGTAAAATCCGTAGATCTACGGAGATTTCCGTAGATCTGGCATCTCTGCTGTTGTGCTTTTTTGAATGAACACGAAGAAACCCGATCGAATACTTGCGTGTTTACTACTGTGGTTTACCTACACACTCGCATGCAGAATGAACATGTGTGCGTGAAATGTTTTGATCGCGCGCGAAAACAAACGTCGTTGTCAAAAGAAAAGTGGCTTGAAAAGGAAATTTAGTGAACGCGCTCCGGAACCCCGAGTACACTCAAAAATATTACTAACAAAGATAGATTAAAATTTAATCATTTTATTATTAAGCAATGTTTATACATTGATCCGATTAAAATTTCTTTAAAAACTATGTAGCTGATTGCATCTGAAACTGGACTGTCCCAAAAATGCAAAAAGTGTGATAAAAGTGCACGTTTCCGTCAAATCGTTTTGATGTGTTGGGAGCACTTATTGCTTGCATCATAAGGGATAAGTGCACCGAAGACACCAATACGATTAGACGTAAACTTGCAATTTAATCACACTTTTTAATAAGTGAAAACGCGCTTATAAGTTCAATTTGGTGTGAAACGCGCAATACTAATTCTGAATAAAGGCATGTAATTGGCGTTGACGGCACCGTCGAAAAATTTGCTCTTTTAGCAAATATAGACAGTTTCTTATGGGAATTTTCGGTGGAGTGAAAGGATAGTACAAAGTCCGCCATGTTTCACGCACAGTCTGACGTTTGCTTATGGATTTTCTCATAGGAGTAAAGAGCTACAGAGTCGCCGTCAACGCCAATTAGTTCCTAGTATACAAAGGAAAAAAAAAAACAAAACAAAATGCAGTTTGTTATGCATTCAAAAAAATAAATCAGTTCGACAGTGAGCATGCATAAGGGCCTATACGCGATGATCGATTCTCTTCGTCGATTTTCTCTTTTGTTTATAACTCGCTAGATTTAACGTTTCCCGGTGCGTTAGCTGTTGCTTTTGATAGCCAATACAACCTGTTACTACTCTGCATTGAAAAAATCGACAGTGAGCATGCATAAGGGCGAATACGCGATGATCGATTCTCTTCATCGATTTTTTCTTTGCATTGCTACAGCTAAGCGAAACAATTTCCTTTCCGGTAAGTTACTACTCAAATAGTATTATAAACATTTCTAGACTAAAAGACGAAATTGTATCCCTTATAGGTCTAATTCACCCTGAAAAATCAACTCGATCAAACTCTGGATCGCGGTCTCCGTCGAGAAGCAGCCGTTCTGATTCGGCTGATTCCGAAGTGGAAGAAAAAACGAAAGCAAGCCGCTATATCCAGTGATTCCGGATTGTATGCTGAGAAGGAGCACACGGTAATTGATTCCGACTATGATGAAGCTTCCAATAGAGAGTAGCTAGGTGTACGTGAAGCAGAATGACGTGGACATTGAGTACAGTCTGAAGCTGATTATAATCCAAAATCAGGTACGAAAGGGTTTGATGTGATTGACTCGGAGTTGACAAAGAAGTTCGACTTTTTATTACTGTTTTAGGTCGTTTGCTACACGGATAGAAATCTTCTTATACCGTTTGGCAAATTTCTATTGCTGATTATTCATAAAATGTATAAGCAGACGCCTTGCAAAAAGTTAATGGAGATCATGTGTCAAATGAAATGTATAAGCGGTCACCCATACCTTTTATGCATTCTTATAGGACCTATGTGGTTTGTCTTATGGAATGTATAAGGCTGATGTTTTGGCAAAAATGTATAAGTGAAACACATGAATAAAATAATTGATTTTCGTTTCGTGTATCGTCGGGTTTGGGAACACATGAGAGAGATATGTTGAATACGATTATGTGCGGGTGACAGAGAGAACCGTTGGGTGTACGTGGAGGAGGAACCAGTCCGATTACTTTCATGCAAAATCTACAAGATCATGACTAGATCTGAAGGACCGATTCAAACCTGTCCTGCACCAGATGTTACGTCTATTTGCAGCCTAATTGTGGGATTATTATCACTAATATTCGTACATTCCTTTCTCGGCTGCCGTGGTGTGATTATAATGCCATTGGGAAGCCTTATTATATTTAATTTAAATGCTTCACTAAAAACACAATTCCATTACTTCCAGATCTTTTGTTTACTTTATTCTAAAATTCCTCACTTGACATCAATGAAAAACGCATTCTGACGGATAATCAGGCTTTATGCATTCTAATTGTTCGGCACGGATGGCAGAGGAGTTAAAATAAGCTGTCCCGAGCTTTGTTTAATCACGCGAAGGTTTACTTACCACGCCGAACGGTTTGGATGGTACGCCGTTGCCCTGCCGGGGCTGCTGGAGCGAGTGCCGTTTTTCTCGATTCTATCAAAAAAATGTTCAAGGCCGTAGACCGTTACTCTACTAAATTAAGAGACTGTTACAATAGCGTGGTTCAGATTTTGATAGAAAGCAAAGGAGTGCCTTTAGCATCAGGTGTTTGGACTTTGATTGTAGACTGAGGACTGAACTTCTCACTAAATTAGAGATTCTGGTCTCATCAGTAATTTTAGTTTAAAACCTGATGAAGGTACTGGCTGGAAGGAATTCGGATCTTAACAGATCGACAGACGTTTTAAGACTAACGAAAACATTCGATTGATCAAGTACAAAATTTGCCTTATATAGGGGTTTGAGCCTAGAAAGATTTGTCTCCTGCTAAGATCTTCCTAACGTAATGTTGATTAGAACGAAAGAGACAGAAAATATTCCTAATCTAAACTTATCCATCGTTCTCCTTCAAGATCATGTGAGGCATTTCGGGACCAACTCAATCCTTCTAGAATAATCTCATATGTATGCATACGTCTAGGATGCACTTGACTCCTACGCAGCGCTTATACCTAAGCTAAACTGGTGCAAGTGTATAGTTTCCCTATGCTGAGTTTTATTGCTTTGTTTTATGCTGCGTGCATCCGTTGGGTAAATCCTATGGTGCAAACGAGAGCGTACCACTTATGCGTTCTCTTATTACATGGCATTGACCTGGAACTTTGTGTCATTTTCGATGCTCTTGTATTCATTGAACATGACTAAGCAGAAGGGATGATAAACAGAACAGCTGTTTATATTTGACTTTGAACTTTTACTTATTTGCATCG